TCTTTCCCGTTATCTTCGTCATCGTCACCGTAGCCGTCGCCATACAAACACGCACCACTTTTCTTTCTTCTTTTTTTCATTTTTTTTGTAGTTATGATGAAAATTTTAAAAACTTTTTATTTATTTATTTATTTTTTTTTTATGTTTTACGAAATTTTGTATATTCTTAAACATATATATATATATATATACATAAAGGAGAGGGTGTTAGGAAATCAGTACCAATTAGTATTAAAAGTACTTCTAATACTAATTGGTACTGGTTTGCTAATAGAGAGAGTGTTTTGATAAAATTTTAAAAACAAAATTATGGGAATTGAATTGCAGTATGCTTAAGAATCTATGTATACATATTCTGATGATTTCTTTTTAGAAATTTATATATTATTATACATCTATATAGCGACACATAGTGTTCTAATAAAATTTATAAAAGCAATTTAAGAAATTTTTAATTATAGTTGTTTTTTAAACGATGATTTCAATCAAGTGATTCTAAAAAATGGAGGATGAATACAAGAAGGCAATATAAAGGTAATTTTGTCTTTGAAAATTTATATTGTTTTAATAAACATGCTAGTGGAACCATTTGATTGCCATATTAATTTGTCTTTTGTGTCACGTACAATCTGTCTAACAAATCAGTCTAATCTTTCTGTCTGAGTATCACGACTCTTTATTAAAATAAATTTGAAAGAAAGAAAATAGATTTTGTATCATTTTAGAATGAGAGACTAGGTAGCAATTAATTCCAAATATCTAAAGATGTGTTCTGTTGCATGGACTTCCAGTCTTAGAATTAAAATTTGATAAAATTTTGGTTCAATTTTCTTAATTGTTTTTTTTCAAATTCCACCAATTTCAATTCCAATGCTCCAATTTCATATAACAATATATATCCAATATCCTTCTTTAAATTCAATTCTTGTGAAATCCAGCTATTCCAAACTCAAGGAAGTGTTCTCTTTCCATTTTTCTTTTCTCTAAGGGATAGTTTGGTGCGGTAGAATGAAATACAAAGAAAGTGGAATGAAATGGTTTTTTTTTTTTTTTTTTTTCCATTATTGTGTTTGGTGCCCAATTTTAAACTTAGAATCGTCATTCTCCACCATTCTTGGAGAATGGCCATTCCATCAAAATCATTCCACCTTCTGACAAAAAGAATGACCATTCCATTCCTACTTTAAAAAAAAATACAAACTAAAAAACATATTAAAAAATAAAACTTAACAAATTACAAACCCACCGTTGGCATCATCATCTCCTATATCGACAGTGAAACATACAAGAACACACAACCCAACCTAACCCATTGTCGAACAGAAATTTGGTTGCCGTTGTGGAGCTCTCTAGCCGCCGTCCTTGTCTATTGTCGGCGTTCTTTAAGCATACTCAAAAGCTTCACTGCCGGGAATACAACTGTCAGTGTTGCCGTCCTTTTTGCTTACCATCAGTCTTACCAGTCCACCCTCTGTGCTCACCATCAGTTCAACGCCATCTTGCCGACGATTCAAAAGCTCAATTCAGACCCTCCTCGCCGGTAAGTTCAGCACCGCCATCCTTCTTGATTGACTGGGATTTTTTTATTACTAAACTATTTAAATCAATCCATAAGTAATTTGAAAGTCGGACGCATTTGACTTTTTCTTGTGAGTGAAATATGACATCATTCTTCACTCAAATAAATATCGTAATGAATATGTCTAATTTTCGAATTCCAACAATTATAACATACGAATTCATGTATAGGTATGAATGGTGACATACCCGTATTGTGTCAATATAGGATACAGATATTCAGTGATATGTGTCTACGGATACTTCCTAAGTGTATGCATAATTTTAAAAAATATTATTTTCTTACCATATTATCGTAGTATAATTGTTAAAAATAGTTTAAATTTTATTTTTTAAAAAAGTATATATATATATATATATATATATATATATATATATATATATATATATATCATGATTTTGTATGTAATAATGGAAGAACAATGCTTAGTTTACTCACCGGTGAGTAACTTCACCCTACTCACCCCTTATGTGTTCTAATAACAAAATAATACATCCGTTTTAATAATAAAATAACCCACGCGATCCTCTGCTTTTTCGAATCAACCATTGAATAAACATACAGGACTTTTATTATATTAAAACTGACGTGTTATTTTGTTTTTGAAATACGTAGGGGTGAATATGGTAAAACAATTTACCAGTGAGTAGCTAAGCATTATCCATAATGGGATGCATTTAAATTCATAATTTTATAATCAAAGAATTTACCAAAATTTAATTTTTATGTAAATAAAAAAAAAATTATTATTATTTTTATCATATGCTAGTATTCGTATCTTGTTTTTTTTATAAAAAAAAATATATATATATATATATATGTCATATCAATGTACTCATATTTATTGTATCTATATTTCTCAGGGCAAACTTTTATCACTATAACAGGCAATGACACATGAATACAATAAATATTGAGGACATTGTTACACACTGACGTGACAGACATAACAGTTGCATAATTAAGCAAATGTCGTTTTTGTTCCTAACGTGTGCATTTTTGAAACAACGAACTTAAAAATATTGGAACAATCACAAACTTAAATACCGTAACCATAACATCAATAACTGCCGTATGAAACTTTAATCCACCGTCAAAGGCCCATCAAGTGCATCAATTTGATTCATCTTCTCCATCAAATCAGAATGTAATAGATTGGATTAGAGCAAGAGGCATAGTGCTCTTGATCTACATTTATAAATGTTGAGAGCCGCATTAATAAGAGTTGTTGACTTGATTTTTCAGTTCAAATCAAATTATACGATTATAACGAAAAAGATAAAGAGAAGAGATTTTCGCATTTGTGAGAGCCGCATACTATTTGTTTGTTAGGATCAAGATTAGGCGATTTAGGTGATCGCCTAGAACTCCCAATTAATTGGACTCAAAATTATATATTATTAGAATCTTCTAAAATTTTGTACTTCACATTTGCCTAAAGCCTCAGAGAATATTAGGTATCTCTGGACCAACCCCGACTAAGACGCACATAAAATGATGAAAGTTTGCCCGATCAATACATGAGGCCTACTGATAGGCCGATTTCCACAATCATATCAGTAGGTGATGATGTTCTCATGTGCCTGTATGGATTATATAAACTTGAAGAGGTTTCTAAAAACTAGTTTTTTAATTTTTTTTTTCTTTCTAATTATTAAAATTAGTTCACAGGTTAAATAAAAAGCTTGTGGATAACGTCTATCTTGCTAAATGAGGACGTCACAGTTACACTTCTGTTTGATTAGTGAAATCACTGACTATGTTTTGTCTCGAACCAATTTCTTTTGGGATTTAAAATTAGAATTAAAAACGTAAATAGAATAGATTGTAAAATGAAATTCTATTGCCATGTTTGGGATAAACTAAAATTTATTAAAAGGAATTTGAAGGAAAGAAAATAGATTTTGTATCATTTTAGAATGAGAGACTTGGCGGTTGATAGGACAGCAATTAATTTCAAATATATGAAGGATGTGTTCGGTTGTATGAAACTGAAGCTTTAGAATTGAAATTGGTGAAATTTGATAAAATTTTGATTCAATTTTTTTAATTATTTTTCTCAAATTCTACTAATTTCAATTTTAAGACTCCAATTCCATATAACCCGAATATATCCAAAATCCTTTTAAAAATCCAATTCTTGTGAAATCAAGCTATTTCAAACTCGAGGTGTGCTCTCTCTCCATTTTTATTTTTTTATTTTTTTTTTATTTTTGTGGAAAAGTTAAGCTACTGACTTAAATAATAAGAATTTACAATAGTGAGCCTAGGCCAAGCAAACCACAAAGCCCTAGCCCAACCCAATTACCAAACAAGCTAAACATGGACAAGCCCATCCCAATTTAACAAACCAGAAAACCAGTTCTCTTAAGAAACAAAAAAATACCAAACTCTGAATTCCTCTTGGGCCTTCACCGTCAATTCTAAAATGTTAAGAGTTAGGTGAGCTCGTAAGTTCAACATCACCTTGATATGCAATAGTGGCGTCACATAACAATTAGATAAACATAACTAATGAAAATGTATAATTCGTAGCTAGTTAGATTCTAAGCTCCGATAATTTTATATATTAAATTAATCCACTTGATTAATTGTTAAATTAAATTTAAATATATAATTTTCACTTAAACTCCTAATATAACGATTCACATTTGTAACAACATATCAAAACCTAATATGTAAGAATTATATGCAACAACATAGAAAAGAAACAAATCCAACCTTCAATATATAAATACATAGATAAAAAGGGAATCCGACATTTTTAACAAGGCCAGGCATCCAATATCACATGTATGTTCAATAATAAATAAGAAATCCAAACTTCAACATTTTTTTTCCCCCGGTAGGTTTTGAGGATCTTACTCGTCACCAATCAAGTATTAACACTACATGAAATGTTTTTCTGCATGTAAAAAATAAAAAAATAAAAAAAGAAAATTCATAGACACAAAATAAATTTCATAGTCAATAGTATCTTTTCATTATGCAACAATCAATAATTTTGAGTCGTGAGAAGAAGTGCGAACTTCAGTTCTCTTATATTGTCCATGTATATACAGTATCACATACAATGTACGTGGAGATTGCATAGCCATGCAATCAAAAGATGGAGTACTCCTGATTTTGTGCACACATGTTGTATTGTATTGATCAACTAACAAGCAACACGTGTCATTGTATACACGTGTGATGCTTGTGGACAGTCCGATGCAGTACCAGTATGTTACAATGTACATAATCTAAGCTCTAAACAATGCTAGCTGTTTCACATTATTCTTATAAAGATTTGAACCCTCAAATTTTAACTTTAAAAGATGAGAAAGTACCACTAAATTACAACCTTTGTCTAACAATAATTGTTCATTCGGCTATATATAGTACCTAGTTTCGCTTGCATTGTATACCAATCTCACAATCTTTCTACACACACGAGCTGGAATGGCTACTCCTTTAGTCATCACATCCTCCTTAGTCATGTTCATGATCTTGATCACCAATTTCATGATGATCAATGTCTGTTTCTCTGAACCTACTTGCCAGCCAACCTATCCACCAAATGCAGTTCCGGTAGCTAATGAAGATGTGGACATGTTGCAATTTCCTCTTAATCTCGAGTACTTAGAAGCAGAATTCTACTTGTTTGCTGCACTGGGATATGGACTTGATGTGGTTGCTCCGCAGCAAGCCATGGGCGGTCCTCCTCCCATCGGGGCCAGGAAAGCTAACCTTGATTTCCCCGTGCAGGACATCATCAAAGAATTCGCATACCAAGAAGTTGGTCATCTCAGGTTCGGATCTCTCTATGATCTATATACACATGTATATATACTATTAAGTTTGAATAACATTGTGAACGGTTTTTGTACATGTTTGCGTACCCTTCTTTGAAAACTGAACTAAACAAGCGCATAAACTTCGTATATGTTGATTGATTGTATACAGGGCCATCAAATCAACAGTTGGCGGGTTTCCAAGGCCTCTGATGGATCTAAGCAGTAAGAACTTCGCAAAACTGTTCGACGAAGCATTCGGATACAAACTCCTCCCTCCCTTCGACCCGTATCGTGACAGCCTGAGTTACATGTTAGGTTCTTATGTGATTCCATACATGGGACTTGTAGGTTATGTTGGGACAAATCCAAATCTCATTGGCTACAAATCAAAGATGGTAAGGCATCATTTTGGCCTTGAAATGCCATATATAGCTTAAGCACGGATTCTCTATTGTAACAACAGACGTATTGTATAGCAGAGAACAAATGTGATCACTCAAACACGTGAAGTGTCCACATATGTGAATGATCACAGTCGTCCTCTGTTGTACAGCAAAATGTTGTAACGTACAGCAAAAGGTTCCAAGTCATATAACTTCTCACCCATGTTTCAATATATATATATCAAGCTTTTAACAAAAAACATTGTCTGGTGCAGCTGTTGGCAGGACTTTTGGGGGTTGAAGGCGGCCAAGATGCCGTTATACGAACATATCTGTACGAGCGATTGAATGAAACAGTGAAGCCATACAACATCACGGTAGCAGAGTTTACAATCCGCATTTCGGAGCTGAGGAACAAACTGGCAATGTGTGGCATCAAAGATGAAGGAATCATAGTCCCACTTGAGCTCGGGGCCGAGAACCGAACCACAAGCAATGTTTTGTCAGCCAACACTGACTCCCTCTCTTACAGCAGAATTCCAGCAGAGATATTGAGGGTCCTGTATGACTCCGGCGACGAGAGTATGCCCGGCGGATTCTATCCCATGGGAGGAAATGGAAAGATTGCTAGGGGATTTCTGAAATAGGCATAGCCAAAAATGCTAGCCCAGACATTAATTAATGAATAAATAATTTCTATTTTCATGTAATGTTGTTATGATCAACGTAAGTGATCAATCTGTTGTTTTTTTATTATCATGTAATGTTGTTATGATCAATGTAAGTGATCAATCTTTTGCTGTGAAATTGGCATTTCCTATATAAGTGCTCAAAAAAATTCATGGGTTCGTCAGCATGTATTGATTTGTAACAAGAAAACATTACTCAATATTGGTCCAGCGCAAGTAATGTTTGAATGAAATACTAAAGACGATTTTGAAATACAAGTCAACTTTTATCAAATGAACACTTAATTACAATAAATATTGAGGACATTTTTTTTTTTTTTCAACAAAATATTGAGGACATTGATAAACAAAACGTCACATGCATCTTATCCATCAATTCAGCATGGAATAGATCGGATTAGGTTGGATCAGGATCATCTATCATGAAAAAATTTAGTTCATGTTCCGTTCATTCAAATCGACAATATATACAACAATTTCATATCCATTATGTTATAAATTTGAAAAGATGTTAAATTCTCCATTCAATAGAATTACTAATATATTGTATGAGTGTTGCATCTTCTATATAAATGTGTTGTATAAATATTATGTGACATAGTGCATTTAGCTAAATTTGGATAGGATGACTCAACATAAGGAAAACTAAGCCACCCTTGCCCTGATTAAATTTGGCTTTGGATGAACTAATGTGAGTGGGTGTAAGCCTTATTGCTTGAAAATTCCCACTGCTAAACACCCGACCCGACCGCATTGAGAGACACAAAAGCACAAATGACATTAGTTAGCAAAGTGGTGTTAAGCATTTCAACAAAAAGAGAGGTCGCAATAAATATGTAAAAGTGTTGAATTCTCGATTTTATAAGATTGCAGCGTTGTAACATAATGTAATATATTGTATAAATGTTACATTTTTTATGTAAATGTGTTGCATAAATAATTTATTTGTGATATAGCATGTTGCATTGTACGTGATATATAGTGTGAATTAAATTTGAATAGGATGACTTGGCATCAGAAAAAAGGGAGGCCCCCATGCCTTGATTGAATTTGGCGTTGGATGGACTAATGTGAATGGGGGTGTAAGCCTTGCCACTCGAAAACACCTCGGGGCTGACCACACTGGAAGACACAAAATCACAAATGACACTAGTTGGCAAAGTGGTGTTCGACATCTCCTGCTGTACAAAAAGAGACATTGTAATGATATCATCATTATGCAATAAATATGAAAAGACTTCAAATTCTTGAGATTTAATATAGTTATTGTGTTGCAACATAATATAATATGTTTTATAGATGTAACACAACACAATATTAGCAAAAATCTCCTATTATCAAAATATGATTGATCTAAATTAACTCAATTAATTTTTAAAAAAAAATGACGTGATTGTTGTTGTTGTCATCATTAATGTTGGTAGGTTGATCAATCAAATGATACCCCAACAATATCAATAATATCACAGTAACCTAGTTTTTAAAGTTCATAGTTCCAATACTTTTAAAAGTGTATATTTTTAAAGATGTATAAAACCTAAAATTCACTAGACACTTTTTTTTTTTTTTAGTTTACAGTTTTGTTATTCTTCTTAGTCTCAGAATTCTCATAATCATACTTGTCCACTCAAACTTTTATTGTTATAATATGCCATGAACACTTAAATATAATAAACATGGAGTGACCCCTTAAATATAATTCCAACTCACATTGATACACACATAACATAAGCAAATGTCGCTTTTGCTCCTAATGTATGGATTTTTACAAACTTAAATACGGAAACCATAGCATGATGAGTACACATCACGGATAAAGTACCTTTCTGATTCATCTTATCCACCAAATTAGCTTGTAATTGATTGATCGGCTTGGAATATTAGGATCTCTCAAGTGCAAATTTAGGTAATGTTACTTGTCAGTCTAAATCGACAATGCAACAATTTTAAATTGATTGCACAATTAATAAATATATAAAGGCGTTGAATTTTCGAATTAATAGGACTGCATCATGCAATACAATTTACTATGTCACATGGGTATTGCATGTGCTATATATGTGATATAGCATGTGCATTGTGATATAATGTGTTAGCTAAATTTGAATAAGATGATTTAGCATAGGAAAAGTAAGCCCCCCTTCCACACTGAGAGACACAAAAGCACGAACGATGCTAGTTGGCAAAGTAGTATTAAGCATCTCAAGCGATACAAAAATGTAAGATCACGATGATATCATTTACGTCCGTACCAACCACTTCTCGTTAATTGCTTGATTCAATGCGATATAAAAAGCATGAGAAAATTCAAATTCATAATAGATTTGACAATGGTAGATAATTTATTCCCTTGTCCTGCCGCAAATGAAGAAATTATTACATGGTATAGGCCCGGGACCAATGGTCCATTGTAATAATTTCTCTAACAAATGGGGATCGGGTCCTTGATGGAGTGCACCAATTGGGGTCCTAGATGATCTTCAGTAAAGGCACTAGGACGATGAAATCACCCAATCACAGTAGTTGGGGACTACTACTAACAGGTGGGGGCTATCAGTAGGTGTGGAGGAGATAAGTCAAAAGTTTGATGATGTGCCTGTACAAGATTATCAAAACTAGTTTACAGGTTCTTGAGGATAAACGTCTCTTTCTTGCTAAAGGCAGACCTTACAGTCAGCTTTTTTTTTGGTTTCATTCAGTTGATCTTAAAACCCTTTTCAAACCCAATTCTCGTTAAATTCTACTATTCCAATGTGACATCTCACATCCTCCGGAGAAAAGTTGATCTTAAATCCCTTTTGTTTCATGGTTTTGTTCTCTCTACTGTACGCAACACACACAAAGCCATCTTCATACTACTTCTCATATCTCTGGGAGACATAATAACAAAAACCAAGCAATATTCCAGCGAAACAACCTCAAATAACAAAACATTCAGTCCTCGTATTATATATATATATATATATATATATATATATATACACACACACACACACACAATTAGGACTAATAGAAACTCATGTTAATTATAACCTCCTCAAATAAAGTGCTAGTTGATCAGTGTACGTGCCCTATTAATAATTAGGACAGAAGACAAATAGTACTTTAACAGGATTTATTAAAACAACTTCGAATTTCAAGATTTTTAGAAGATTAATTTAGTGAACCAAAAGCCAAATGCTTAATTACAGCCACCCACTTCAATCGAAAAGGCAAATTAAAATGCTTTAGAAAATGGTAGACACATACAGAATAGTAGACACAAATTAGGATCTAATAAGTCAGTCATATATCTATCTATATATATATATATATATATATAGTAGCGTTCAATTGCTCCCTAGTGAGCAGGAATATCCTTTATTTGTAATAATTTAGGAAACTCTTATTACCATTAAATATAATTGAAATGAAAAGACAAAAGGGTACAACTTTATTGAAGGAAATAAAATCTTAGAAAATAAAAAAATCATGGTTCCCCATCGTAAAAGAGCTTTGCCCCACAAGACACGATTGAGGTTCCTCATCATAAAAGATTGAGGTTCCTCATCATAAAAGAGCTTTGTCCCACAAAACAAGATTGATCATGATCACAGTTGATCGGAAAAATCATAATTGATTAAAGATGTAAAATTTAAGAAAATCACAATTGATGGGCAGCAACTGGTTCATCCTCCCAACAAAACAATCCGATAGTCATGGCTTAAAACTCTTTTTATTATTAGTTAGTCTACCACATTTTTATTGATTTTCTTTCCCTCACATATATGATTATTTTTCTTAAATTTTATATTTTTGATCAACTCTGATTTTTCGACCAGCTATGATTAATTATGTTTTGTGATCCAAAGATAAAAGGGGAAGCTCTTAGGAAGGGAGAGGGAAACAAAGAGTATGAAGACCTTTTACAGCTATTTTAAACCCTCCACAACTGATGATGCACCTTATAAATGAAGTAGTCTATTGTGTCAACAATAGTGCCTACTTGGAGCCATAAATTCAATTAGTCACCTTCAATCATTAGGGAAACCCTAGAAATTGGTCAATCCGATTTGATAATCCTTCATAATCTTAGCAAGCTCTTCTACTGAAAACACAATTTCAGTCCCCAAATTGTTCTACTTGCTTTAGAGGGGGGAAAAATGAAATAGGACATACTAACTAATATTATAGATAGATTTTATTTCCTTCAATAAAGTTATACCCTTTTGTTTTTCCATTCCAATTATATTTAATGGTAATAAAAATATTTAAGATTTTCCTAAATTATTACAAATAAAAGGACATTCATTTTTTTTTTATAAGTAAAAATATATTAGAAAGACGTTCAAAAGGAGAACGCGTCCCTAATACACAAAAACGAAAGAGCAAAAGCCAAACCTATGGACCAACAGAGTCCAATAGAACAAATAAAAGGACATTCATTGAATTAAATCCAACCGTTACAATTAAAAATGAACATACTACTCCCCTGATCACCAAAAAACAATTGAACACTACTGTGTGTATGTATATATACGTACATATAAAAGGCACGAATTAACAACCATACCGTGTGCAAAAGATTATTTCTATATGTATTATAGATATATATATATATATATATATATATATATATATATATATATTCAAGCCTACAATAAAATTTTCTTACCCAATTAGAAAAAAGCGGATTTCCTCCACTTCCGGATTGCAAAAATGTTCCCCATATTAGACTTTTTGCAAACTTCCCCTTTTCTACTATTAAAAAATTGCAAAGAAGTCCCAACGGTCTAACCAAACGCTAATTTGCCATTACATACAACCTCAAGTTACGAAATAGACTTTAATATTTCTTGATTTTGTTGTCCATAGCAATTTTATTTATTAGGTTTTGTTACTAAATTTTAATTTTTCCCAATATATTCAAGTAAAATATCAAAAAAGGCTAACACAAGCTCATAGAGGCTCAATACTTCAATCAATAGGAGTAAAAAATTCAATCCATACATGATAAAAAAGCTTCATCAAAACTGAATAACTCTAATTCATGCTTCTAATAAGTTCAAAAGAGTCCATAGAGATAAAGAAGTCACTCTCATGAGGATCTTCATCACCAATGGTAAATTGCTTAAAGAGAAACCGATCAGCAGTGCAAATGAACCTATTGCCGGGCTTCAACTCTCTTCTTCTGCCAGAGCCTATCAACAGAACTGTCAGCATCTCCCTGCAAAATTAAACCACCAAAATCACCAATCAAGTATTAACCCTACATCACATGCATATGTGCATGTAAGAAATCAGAAGAAGATAAAAAAAAAAATTAACGCAATTCATAGACGCACAATAAATTTCCTAGTTAATAGTATCTGTGCTTTAGTCATCTATGATAATTCATAGCATCCACAAACCAAATATTATACCTATCATCATTGCACATGCCACAAGGGACTGATGCAGGACATCAAGAGGTATTTTCAATGTAAAACATTTTTCAAATTTTTTAAAAACCATTTTCATGCGTTAATTGGGGCACCATATATTGAAAGCAGTTCCAATATATTCAGTAATTCGTCTACTTTTAAATCAATAAAACATGTATTAAGTTACTTAACTTGCATCCAATGAAGAAGCACAAATCATTTGAATGCAGAACAATAGGTGCATACATGTGTGCGCCAATAGGCACAAACATGTGCATGTCTGTTTTTAGTTTCTGTTGCTATAATAGGATTTGTTATCAGAAGTTATCAAACACCTGGTGCCACATACAAGCAAATGCATTTTCTGCGTAAAATGAACCATAACAATTTCAAAAAAAGCTGACCCAAAATGATTAACCAATTAAAAAAATTATTTGAAACAGAGTATCGGTGATTAATCCATAAAAGGGCCAAAACAACACAACATATATTACTGTCATAATGTTATTCCGCAACAGCAGACTATCTAAATGATACTATGCTACATGGGCCATGGCTTTACAACGAACACAACCTCAACAAACTTCTGAAGTTAAATGCGAGCTATGATTACCAAAAACAGCATTAGTTTGTCAAGTGAAACATATAAGCAAAAGTTAAAACCTGGGCACGGATGAATCCACAGAGAGCAAAAGTGGAGAATTGACCAGCGTAACGGCCACCCTCATCCAAGTGCCCGATATTAATCTGGACAGATGCGTGATCCTTCGAAGTGATCAGCCAGTTTGTGGCAGAACTGCAACGACATAATGAAATAACAAGTAAAATCTCTTGAAACCAGCTCAATTGAATTCACTATAATAGATAAATAAAATAAAATAAAAAGTGAACAAAGATATACCACTTCCTGGGAATGTAAAGGTCCATGCTAACTCCCTCGTCGTTTTGCATTTTGGCAGATTATATCAACAGCCTCCAAGTTTAAAAAGCTCAAAACACCTGAATTCGGCAAAACCCAATTTAAAAATCTTTCGTTAAAATGGAAATTTAACCATTTAACCTGTAATCTGGAATTCTTTCTACAGAACTAACATGCATTTGTATCACAAAATGCATACAAATGACCACCCAGACATTATCCCATATGATATGATCTCTCCTCTCCAAAGGGGAGATTGATAGTTTGAGACCCACTAGGAGCAATGTTATAGAGGTTTGTGCATTTGCTTGAACTTCCGGGGAAAAAAATGCATACAAATGTGTCTTATTCTTATTACGAAAACCGTATAAAATAACAACCTAAAACATTTGCATTGCAATGTATACACACCAAGATTCGGTAAAACCCGATCAAAGAATCTTCCATTAAAGAGAAAATGAACGATCTTAGGGTATTTAAACATCAAATACAAAACTTTGAACGCTTAAATGATGACTGTCAAATACATAACTTTGAACGCTTAAATGATGACTGTCAAATACATAACTTTGAACGCTTAAATGATGACTGTCTAAACCTGTAGTCTGAAATTCTTTATAGAGAACTAACACGCATTTGCATCAGAAAATGCATACAAATGACCACACGGCCATTAGCCTGGATGGCATAATCTCTCCTCCGCAAAGGGAAGATTGAGAGCTTGAGCCCCGCCAGAGGCAATGGTGTGGGTGTGTGTTAGTTTGCTTTAGCTTCTTGGGGAAAAAAATTTGCATACAAATGTAAAAAAACATATGAATTGATTGTCTATTAACAAGGAATTTAAGCAATAATTCAAAACAAAAACAAAAACAAAAAAAAAAAAAAAACAAACAAAATGGGTTCAATAACAAGCGATTATTAATGTTTTTGCCGAAATAGTTGATCGATCCCAGCAATATAACAAACAAGTGAGTACAACATAAATTAAATAATGAACAAAATACAAGGATAAACAAATACATATATATACACATATACATTTGTTAACAAATTTAATGAAATTAAATAGATCCATAAAATCATAGCAACGATGTTGAGACAATAACCAGCTTAAGTTGACATGAGAACCAGAATGACTAAAGCGAGAGAAACGTTACCAGAGGTGAAGACAGAAAACCTGCAAGTTAGAGCGCTGTTGAGAAAGAAGAGAGGTTGGGAGATCTCTTTTTGGGTTTATAGCAAAACCCTAAGTTGTGTTTGTCCCAATCAATTGACGGAAAAGCCCCAGTTCTTTTTTCTTATGACACTAAAATTGCAATGCAATAAAATAAAGAATTAAAAAAAAAAAAAAAATTATATTAGAAAGGAAAAAAGAGAGAGATTACTGTACAATAAATATTTTTAAGGAACTGAAAAAAATAAAAAATAAAAAACAGGCCATTAGCTTCACGTGCGCCACACGTGCTCCTTGCACAAGAAAAGGGCGCTCGTCTTCCCGCCATCGAGTGAATCTCTCTGCTAAAGAGAGAAATTATCATTTCTTTTGCAGCAAAAGAATGGAATTGACGCTTAGTAGTAACGCTCTTAAAACCTTCACTCGATCCATCACAAGCCTCGCACGCATTGGCAACGACCTCACCATTCAAGCCTCTCCTTCTCAGGTACTCTACTTCCCTTTACTTACCCGTGTGTGTAATACATATATAGAGCATTCGTTATATATATATGATTTTATTTTGATCCTAAGTTGTATAGCTCCTTAATTAACCTAATTATTAATGGATTTCATAAATAATCTGTAGCTATTGGGCGATTTTTATATTTATTTCAGATGGGTTTCTTAATCACAATAATAGGATTCGGAATCGATGATCAACGAGTCATTTGTTGGGGTTGGTTCTACATCGTTACTTTGGAAAACCTGAAACAGTTTTTTCAGTACTTCTGCTCCGAATTTGAACATATTGATGATAATTAGGGTTTAAAGGGTTCTGGCAAGTTCATAGATTGGATAATTAGTAAGAGAAAATCGAGTTTAATCGAACATATTGATGATAATTAGGGTTTAGGGGGTTCTGTGAAGTAAATAGATTGCATAATTAGTAAAACAAAATCGAGTTTAAGTTAACTGTTTTGCTTGGTTAAAGCGAAACTCTAATGGGTGATTACAACATTTAAGCATAATGGGTCAATTATTTCCCTATTGTTTCCCTCTAATGGGTGATTATGAAATTTAAACATAAGGGTCAATTATTTTTCTATTGTTTATCTTTCTAGCAACCAAACAGAAGGTTAATTGTATTGGCTAATGTGATGCAATCACATGGAGTGACAAACTAGCGGACAAAGCATAATGATTTGTGAATATATATATATATATATATATATATTAAAATTCAATTTCTTTTCCTTTTTGGACCATGTTCATTTATTTCGATTAGATCAAAGTATCATAAATTTTATGAGAGATAAATTATGAAGCTAATGAAAAAGCAATGTGAATGACTAATTAATTACTCCGTATTTATGTCAGCATATCGGGTTCATTTGCATCAATTTGAAGTTTATTTATTTTTTCATTTGTTCCTTTCTAACTGCAGCTCGCTTTGCACACACTCAACTCATCAAGGTCTGCCTATCAATCTATCACATTTAAGCCCGATTTCTTTGATGTTTATACAATTTCGGGTACCCAAGTGCAATTTAGTGTGCTTTTGAAGGTACAGTTCTATATTTAGACATGTTTGTTAGGATGAACTTGCTTTTGTAAGTAGAATCTAACTTTGATGTATACAGGCAATTTGTTCCGTTCTTAGGACACCTTTTACTAGTATTGATCATTTGAGCGTTCTATTGCCCAATCCTGATGCATCAAAAGTGCAGTGGACTTTGGACTGTTACAATGGTAAGCCATTTTATACACTTCTTTTAGTTTTGTTTCTTCTTCTGGTTCTATTTATATAAGAAAGGGATCTACTACATGCAGACCCTGCAATTGGTGTCTGAAACTATGCGTTGGTGGATGAGTTCATATGCACGGCATTACACATGGTCATGCTTTCTACATTCATGATTTGCAATTATTAGAAATATATAGTAACTGCAATTTTGGAATCAATTCCGCAAGTTGTTGTGTCTTGTACAAATGTGTTGATTTAAAAGATATTGTCATCATTATATCCACCAGATGACTTTACTCAGAATAAGTGTTAGAGAAGTCCAACAGACTCCTTAATTGATTAAACAACGGAGCACTGATTGAAGCATAATGTCATTTCCATGAACTGTCAAAATCAACTCCCCACCAAATCTAAATTTGTATGGTTTGTTTGGATAACACATTTTAGTATAACGGTGTTCTACATTCAATAATCTGAATTTCACATGATTGAGGTAATGTTTTGTGCCATCACATCCGCAAGGACTAGTAAACCGATGGGAAGCTTCATAGTTAGAGTAACTCTAATGTGGCAATAATAACCTTTAAAATTATGAGTTTCTTCAGTATTTTACAGCAATCAATTTAGCCTAAAATATAGACTGGGTAATAATAGGTTTTGACCCATCTTGAGATTTTTTTTTTCTTTTTGTTTCTTTGAGCTCCAGCACTGTCAGCACACATGCACCCATCCTATATGCATTAGGCAATTACGGGACAAATCCGTGGGGATCGCCCAAAGGGGGCGACTCAAACTCAGGGTCTCCAATTCTTGAATTGCTTTCTTGACCTTCTTCGTAAGATGTACATAGACTGAATAGTAGTGCTCTTCATTTGGTGCACCATGAGTACAAGGTCAAGTTGCAGCCTGCAGCAGTCCACATTACATGATATTATTGTATTATTCATTCAGGGTTTGGACAACCTCGTAATAAAATTGTGCAGGTATAAGGAAAGCCTATTGGATTACTTGCAATGTTGAACCAGACATACAACATCTATCTCTTGACAGGAGAAGGTTTCCAAGCAACTTTGTGGTGAGGCCTCGTGATCTCAACAGATTGCTGGCTAATTTCCAGTCAACCCTTCAAGAGATTACTGTCATTGCTACTGAACCTTCTTCCTTACCTTCTGATGTGGCAAGCGAAATTGGTGGGAAAGCTGTTGAACTTAGAAGTTATATAGACCCAACCAAAGGTAAATTTTATTGTTAAATTTTTTACCCCTACTCTGATGAACTTATCTTATCCAGGTAATTCATGCTTAAAATTTTCAATTGTAGACAATGACTCATCTCTACACACTCAATTATGGATAGATCCTACGGAAGAATTTGTGCAGTATTCTCACACTGGAGACCCTGTAGATGTGACATTTGGTGTGAAGGAATTGAAGGTACAATTAATAATGTTCCAGAACTTAGTGTCTTGATTGCATTAACAAATTTGAAGTCTGAACTCAACAAAGTCTTATCCCAACTGATGACCCTTGCCTTTTTGATAGAGATGGTATCAATATAGTTACCATCACTATCATGAATGCACAATATTATCTAGTTAACACAGTTCATCCATTTCTGTATTTTGGGATCATTTAATTTCTTTCTTGTATTATTTGAAGCAGACTTTCCAGAATTATTTTTATTATTTCCTGAATTTCAGGCATTTCTTTCTTTTTGCGAGGGATGTGAAGTTGACATCCACTTGTATTTTGAGAAAGCTGGCGAGTAAGGTCCCTGTGCCATTTTATTCATTTTGATGTTGCTTCCTTTTTGCCTCTCTCTTGATCTTCTCTTCTTCATGAAGAGTCTTTCTCATATAGGAAATTTCAGAATGGACCACTAGCCTAAAATCCAAGTTGGAATCTCCTTCAAGTTTTTGTTATGGTGTAACATTATAAATTAGGATAATTGATGACTGGTTCTATGACATGATATGCAATACTTCTTGGTATTTTTAGTGCTTAAGAGTTTAAATCGTAAAGCTCACCAACTGAATGGCTATTTTCAAAATTTCAGATGAATTTTATGACCATCTTTAAAATGTTTTTAGCCAGTAAATTATCATCTTAAATACAACAGTGTACCAAAGATGCAAATGAACTTTCATTAGGAACTAGGAAGTTATTGATATCACATGAACTTTTTAGAGTTACTAAACTCTGTAGTCTTGAGGGTAAAGGTCTATGTATTAAACTGTTAATACGTCATATTTTACGGTATGTGTAAGTGCCACACTGTTAAAGGAGTACGTTCAATATTTATCAGATTTCCTGGATTGCCCTTCCTGTTTGCTGTTTTAGATGAAAGAATTCATTGCTTTCAAATATGATTTGATCTGTAAAGTTACTTGTGCTGGGGAACAGACCTATTCTGATGGCACCGAAATTCGGTTTAGATGATGGCTCCACTTCAAACTTTGATGCTACACTAGTACTTGCAACCATGCTTGTATCACAGCTCCATGAAAGAAATCCCTCAGAACCTCCACCTGCAGCTGCCACAATGCAGGGACAGGCCGATCGAGGGACAGGGTCCCAAGTACAAGAGAGGGCAGGAGGAAATGTTTCTGATCTTCCATCTGATCACACCAGAATTTGGTCTGAACTTTCAGGTAGCTATCATTGCCTAAATGGTGACAAAACATTATGCATTTAAGACTTTTAACTGTTCCAACTTTGAACAGGAAGTGCAGCGAAAAGTGGTAGTGGTGCTGAAGAAAGACCGGCTCAAGGGGAAAAAAATCCCAATACTAATGAACAAATGAATATTCATGGGATTAGCACAATGTACATTTCTAAGGCTGGGTCTGCTGGAGCAAATGTGCCGAGGGGGCCTAATGTGTATCCTCAACTTTTCAGTATGCTTTGAGTGTCTATGTCTTTTAGGTTGACCTTTCTCAACTATTGTACAATTTTTACAAATTCTATTTTCATGATGTTTTACTGAATAACTTCAAAAGAGAAACAATATTTTAGGGTTAATATGCAGGGTGAGATGTTAGGAGTCAGGACCTCCAGATACTCAGGAAGTAATAATTTCTTCGCTTGCTTCTTCTTCATTATTTTTTTTTTAAACTACTATTTTCCTAAAGAGGCAAACAAGTTTTGGAATATTGTGTTGCAAACCTTAGATATGCATGATGTCTGAGGTTCACGCTATGCTTAACCTCAAAGATTTGAGTGTATACTTTGTCTCCGTCACAGGTTGAGCTGTGATTGTCATGGAGCATGTGTTTCTAGGGCTGAGCTCTGAGGGAATTTTTGAGCCTAATACATTGGTTTTTTATATTATGGAGAAAAGTTCTTTATTCAATTCTGCCTTACTATATTAGATAGAAAGCGTGTTTCTCTGAGGAAGACACACCTACTTTAATCTTCATTTGGAGTTTATTTTTACTTATCTAGTTCCCTGTACAGAGAGTAATAAATGACAAGGGCAAACCAGCCCAAGCTTATATGTTTGGACTTCTCCAATTGTTGGGATAATTAGATTGTAGAACTGGTTTTGTAAACTTTCATTTTGCCATGACGCTTACATATTGTAAAACAATATGGATACTCTCTATTTATAACAAATCCATGTCTCACTGAATGATGAAAAATGGGCGGCCACTCCTAGAAATAGGCTAGACATCTTAGCCTAGGGAAATTTTGACTCCTAGCACGCTCTAATGTAGCTCAGCTCTTCTATTGAGCTCCAATGGCTATGTGGTATGACAAATAAAGGTCAGAAAACAGGAAAATGTCTTGACCAACTGTATCTAAGCCAACTACACTCTAATGTTCAAAACTTTCTGTAAGGCTGTCAGAACAACCTTTTTGGGTAAATTCTCATATAAACTGCATAGTTCTAGCTGAAAGGAGTGGCAAGTAATTTTCTTGACTAAAATGTTAGGAGCCATCCTATGGAAACAGACCATGCAGAAGAACCTCGAGGTTAGTTAAATTGCTTCATCTCTAGTTAGATATTTCAAATGAGGTTACTCCTGCAATAACTAATATCATTTCACTTTTTTCTTTCAGAGAGGACAGAAGTTAATGGACATGGTTTGTCACAACGCCATCCTAGTAATTGGGTAGATGCGGATGACGATGACGATGAAGGGGATGAGGCGGAATTGTGTGTGCAGTCAACACCACCATACTGTGAAGAACGATAGCTATAACAAATCTCTTTTTTATTCTTGCAAAGGAGCTGAATAGACTGCTGATTTTTTCAGTTGTAAGTGATTTGTATCTCTTCCAAGATATGCTTAATCGGTTTTGTTTTCAACTAATTTCAGTAGATTTCATTTTTCCTATGACTGTTTACTTATATTGAGAAGAATCTCCACGGCTATAATATTGTGTTTTGCTGAAAATAATATGATTAGGTGGGAACCGGTAACCGACAATTTAAAAATATGATATATTTGAATGTGGCTTATACATTATTTTAGCCAACTCTTTTTAAATAACGGGGCACATAAGTTTAATTGGAGAGAGACCACTCAAAAGGTTCACGCTCGTTCACAGTGTAGGCATAGTATAACGTTTTTAGATAAACACCATAGAAAAAAATAAATAAATGATAACTAGATCACAACAGCTTATGTGTTTTGATTTTGAACGACTATTTGATTTATTATGGGTCATATCACCCACATCAAGCATAAAATCATGGTTAGATGCATTTGAGATTAATTAGTTTTTTTTTATTTGAATATCCGCGTGTCCCTATATTGTCACAAAGGAAATGAAAGTAGAAGTTTTGTCAAATTGGTATTCACCAAGTAGTGCTTTCTTGGCTGATGACTGAATAATAGCTCAATACAGCCATTTTTTTTACCCCTACGGGAACTTGAACTCTCGACCTTCTACTTTGGAAGGTGAGGAAATACTACTAGGCTAGCTCAATACAGCTTTGAAATCTAAAGAAATGCATAATAATTTGCTTAATTGCTTAAAATCTAAATTTTGCCTTTATACACATCATTTGAACCACTGCTCTTTGTTTTGCCTGCTGATATAGAACAGGGTTAAGATTTAATAGATGGTTTATTATGGTGCTGTCCAAAAGGAGCAAGAAGTAGCACCAAGAATTTTACTATCATTCATCTTTCCATGGTATAATTAGTATCATGGTGCAACCTTAAATATATTACTAATGTGTTCTTTCATTTACTTTTTCCATTAGCATTCCATAAATTTTATTCTTCCGACATAACATGTTAATAGTGTGATCCAGTATTTCTTTCTCTCTGTCTGTCTGGATTTCAGCACTAGCTTTCTACCACATATTGTCCATTGGTGTAATATAGAAAATGTGTGCTTGTGAGAGAGAGAGAGATGTGAACTCTCAAAGTTAGGTCATGATGGTTTTTTGGGTAGCTCAAACCTCATTTGGAATGTCATTCATTGCATTTATGCAGCAGTAGTGTCAACATGTGCAGTAATTTTCAAAATTGATTTCAATTGGATGTTTATTTGCAGCAAGTTTGTGGCCCTAGGCCTGCACAAAAGTTGTTTGATGATTCCAGAAGTGGTAGTGAATGGCCAAAAATAACGTCTGTCCTTGGAATTGGTTCGAAGTTAAGTTCACTAGCATTGGTGAAATTCACAAGGTACTTTGGATGACTTAAAAGTCCTGTCTGAAGGTTAAATTTCAATCTTCGATTAATTAAATATAATGTTCTGTTAATTTTCACTTTTATTTTTTTTAGTGGATGACTTCGTTGTAATTTATTTGTGGCTATGTAAAGATCCCATTTAACAGACTTGGAACTAGGAAGTAGTAAACATTGATGCCAAAGACGTTCTTGAACCCTACACTGCTCAGAGTCAGTTGAGATGATTTTAAGCAAATTGCTTATTCACTTGTATGATTGCAAGACTAGCTAGTGTCTATTGATTGATCTTAGAGCCGTGATTTGGGGGCTGAAAGCCGAACCCCTGAACACGACACAATGGTGTGGGAGACCCAACACACTTTCACGCTTGGGATTCGGCATTCGGCTCCCATTCAACTTTCCTTTATCTTATCCTGCAGCAAAATATTGCTTTTGAATGGGAAAGTATCATTTAATAATCTTTTTGATTGTCAATCTATGGGAAGTGAGAGCCATAAAATTTTAGTTGCTATAGTCTATTGGGTTTTTTGTGTTACCTCTCATTCAAATTATATGATCCATCAACAATGTTTACATGCCATGATGTCATTTGAGTTTATCAATCTTAATTGCATGCATACATAAACATTCATGTATATATTGAATTCTATTAATAAACTCTATTGGTATTTTTTTTGTGTTACCTCATTCAAATTAATATGATTATATGATCCATGAACAATGTTTACATGCCGGATGTCATTGATTTTATAAATCTTAATTGCATGCCTAAAATATACATGAATATATTGAATTCTATTTGGTGGGTTTGGTGGAGTTCAGGTAATTAATAGATATATGACCTTTCCTCGTTACATTTAGAGCTGTTCTTAAATTATTCTTTTGAAGGATATGAATGTGCATCTCATATTCATATAGAGAGAGTCAGAAAGAAGATTCAGCACAGCCCAAACAGCTGGGAATATGGGAATCTGAGATGATGTCTTTCCTTTCCATCTCAATCTCTATCCAAGTGGGCGGAAAGAAAATGTTAGAAAAAGAATGAAAAGAGAGAAGCTTTATCAATTCAATCTTGAAGGATATGAATAGGCATTTCATATATATATATTGCGTTGTAACGGGCGAATGTTTGTCATTCGATTCAAAAGTTTAAGGTTAAGTTATTAGGCGATGTTGCATTCTCAATAACTTTTTTATCGGGATTTGACGCAAGACAAGAACATCTATCATTTTTTCTCTGATCCAGTAACTTATTCGAACCTAAAAATTACTTGAGCGAGGACTTGTTGAGATACTGAGTCAAATATTGAATCTTCTTTAATACTACCGATAACGGGTGAGCAAACAGTAACCATTGGATATAAAAGTTTAAGGTTAAACCTGCCTTTATAAGTTAAAAACATTTAGCATTCGGATCGAATGTGAAATAAACCTCTAACGTTAACCAACCAGCTAACGTCCAATGGGATTGTTTGGGATTACAGGAACTGAGAAGATGCCTTTCCTTTCCATCTCAATCTCGAACCACGTGGGAGGATAGAAAATGACAGAAAAGAGAAAGGTTGTGAAGAGAGAGAAAATGTTTGTCAATTCAAATAAAGATATTTATTTATGTATATAGTCTTCTCTTAAAACAATGCTTTAGGCTTCGTTTGAAGGGAAAGATTTGAGGGGATTTGAAAAGAAAAGAAAGGAAAGAATAAGGGGTGTTGTGTTTGGATGGAATGATTTGAAGGGAAAAGAAATGATTTAGAAGGATCTATCCTTCCAAATTCTTCATTTGGAATCCCTCCAAAATTGACAAGATTTGGAGGGATTTGAAAAGAAAGGGAGTTAATAACAAAAGTATCCCTCATTTAGAATCCTTACTAACCCTACAAAAAAAAGGTAAAATGATAATTTCATTATTATTCTTTTTTTTCTTTTCTCTCCTTTGTGTTATCCAAACAATAATATTATTGATTCTTTTCTTTTCTCTCTTATCTATTCAAACATAAATATAAATTTTAGTTATTATTTTCTTTCTTTTCTTTTCTTTTTTTCTCTTATAATTCTTTTCACAATAATATTATTGATTCTTTTCTTTTCTCTTTTATCTATTCAAACATAAATATAAATTTTAGTTATTATTTTCTTTCTTTTCTTTTCTTTTTTTCTCTTATAATTCTTTTCTTTTTTTTCTTTCCTGTGTATCCAAACGTAGCCTTACAGATATACAGCTGGCGTTAGAAGAGTTGGTTTGGAACGCGCAAACACCGCCCCTTATGCTATCTGTGATGGGCCCACACCACACTCTAACGGCTACGTGCACGTAACGTCGACCACTCACTCCCTCTCTTGCCTAACGTCGCTTATGGTCCTCACATCTTCTTCACTTTACAATATGTTTACAGTATTTCCCATACTTTGACCTTTTTTTATTCTTTATATGTGTGTGCATATATATATATACATATATAGAAAGAGAGAGAATTTCTAACCGTTGCATATTTGTACTGTTGACATGGCTGGCTCAACTCTCTACTGCCAAATTTTTTTGTCAGACACCATACTAATACGACAACAATATTAATATTCATGCAATTGTTGTTACATTTTTTTAATTTAAAGTTTATATATAGTATTGCATACACAATTTAATGATAATCAGGTGTGCTACTAATTCTATAAGTCTTCCTTATAGATAAATAAAATATGTATCTTACTTGTAAAGATAAAGAATATGTTTCTTTTTTTAACATTGAAAATTTAAGTATACATTGAAGGTTCTAAATGTTACATAAGTTGATTTTTTTTTTTTTTTAATGATGGAAAGTGTGTGTTTGTGATTGCTTCTATAGTTCTATGTGATTAAAAAGTACATTAATTTTTAAAAAAAAAAATTGTAGTTAAAGGTGTTTGGTGATTAGAGAAGGTGCATTTAGGTAATAGAGATTTCTTAAAAAACAGCGGTAGCTTTTGGAATTACGTTTTTAAACTATTTTTCAATTGTAACGTTTATTTAAATTAGTTTTATAATTCGTAATCATGTAATGTTAACCAATAACTATACCATGTGAATGAATCACTCACATTAATATCATAAAATATCTTTATTAGTGTATGTCTAATATAGTGAATTAATAATAAAAGTATTTTAAACAACATTATTACTAAACAACTTTATTGACATAACATGATTTTTACTGAAAGTAATTTTATAACAACTTTATTGTAAAAGAGCTTTTATAATTCTAAACGACAATTCAAAGTTAAATTGACGTAATAAGTCAGAATATGTTTGAAAGGTGTATTTTCTTATTATTGTTCTTGATTCTCTAAGTTGTCTTATACTGTGACTTGAGTCATTAAATTGTACAATGAGTGACAATATGGAGTGCAGATAATCGGAATTGTTTTGGCCTAATACTCGAATTTCTTATATTAAACTTTTTTTATTGTTCTAATGATATATTTGAAAGTATTGAATTTGTGATTTGGATTTAAATTAAAAAATATTTAGTTAAAACTCTGAATTAAATTTTCTCAAATTTCAATCAACGATACGGATGTTTTAAAAGGTAATATAAGTGTTGTTTTAATTTTCAAATAAAATATAATGACATTTAATATATGAATAAATTACACTTGTATCTCTTTCTCGTTTAGATTTGTTACACTACTCCTCCTGTATTTTAGCATATTATAATTAACCCCTCTAATTTGCACGTTTGTAACAAATACTTATTACTGTAACATTAATGATTAGCAATCAGCAATGAACAATGCTTGTTTGTAACAAATACAATGGTTGAAATTTTATACCATGAAAACATTTTTACATCTTCTTTAGTTAAAATTTTATTTATATAATACTAGTAATAAAGGCATAAGAGTAATTACACAATCCCATTATTTAAAAAGGAAATTGTAATATGCCAAAACACAAAGAACGGAAGCCGGTAGGTGTACCACTAGAGAGATGTAAGTATAATTTATCTTTTAATATATATATATAAACTAATGGTAATACTTATCAAAAAATATATATAAACTAATAGTAATATCCACCTTCATAGCTGAAATTAAACGTTTTGATGGAATTTTTATGTCCACTTTATATTTTTATAATTTTTACTTTTAGTTTGCTCCAATTTCTTAAATGGTTCATTTATTTTTCTTCTCAAATAATGTAAATATAAACAATATTTAACAAAATATAAATAAATATATATATATATCACTCAAGTTTATCAACAATCATGCAATGTAACCATCACACCATTGTTACGATGCAAATCTACCATATAAATAAAAATCGAATGATTTGTGCGTGAATCATAATATCCTTCTCATAAATATTTCATTTTCATAATTTATTCATTTTATATAATTATTTTGAAATTTTTATGATCAATTTTGACATTAATATCCATTGTTAAATTGATATTTTTTTTTTGGTAAAATTCATTATTATATATATATGTTTATGTTTTAATATAGTATTTTTTATAATAATATTATATGTAAAAGATATTCAAGACATAAATATAATATATAAAACATTCAAATTAAAACTTTTGCATTTAACAAACAATCTTAATAAATCTTAAAATTAATACAATATCAAATAACTTTACAATTAATATATTGGGCACTTAAAAAACGCTTAAAATTTAATACTTAGAAATTTTCAATGCTTAATTTTTAATTTTATCAAACAATACCTTTAATCTATAAACTAATAAACACAACATACACGTTATTTCAACTTAGCTATAATGACATTCATAATATGAATAAATTGCACTTAAGTTTGTTACACTAGCCCCTAATGTGTTTTGACATTTTTTTAAGCTCTAATTTTTACGTTTGTAACAAATATTCTTTACGGTAACTCTAATAGACCTTTTAAAATATACTTTTATATATATATATATATATATGAACTATAGACTTAATTGAATCAGAATGATTCTATTTTATTATCGGTGAAAGGTTCAAGTTTTTTTATCTGGTGATTATTTAAAGAATATGTGACGGTGACGGTGACGGGAGTTGAGTTGGGTGCAGAGAAGAGAGAGAGAAAACGTGTTAAGGAGTAACAGATTCTTGGACGGATTCGGGGCAAGCAAACCCTAGTCAGTCAACTAATATAATATCCTAGTTAAATCACACAAGAAGGGCACTTTTTTCTTTCTTATTACCCACTTTGTCCTTATTTACATTATGTTTTTTTTTTTTTTTTTGATGTAATAAATGTTTATATTATTATTTTTGTTAGAATTTTAAAAGTTTATATTATTGCTATAGAATGTGTTTTTTTGGCTTATAATAAATCTACAATATTTTTATTCATTGATGGAATTTGATAATTCTATAAAATAAAAACACAACTTCTTTGTCAATAACCTATAAGTGTATGACAATTAAAAAAAAAAAAAAAAATTAATGCTTCAACCTTTCAATTTTTTTAATCTTGAATCTCTAATTCAAATGGTATCTAAAGAGAAGTTTGAGAGTTTAAGTCTTCGATTAGAACGTGTTGTGAGTAATAACTAGCTTTGTATTTGTTTTAATTTTTTTTAAAAAGACCATAATAATGAAAACTTCCAATTTATTGTGCTAGAGTAACTCAAAAAAATTTGATATACCGTGATCAAGTTCACGTATCGTCCGCTGGTTTTGATCCGTTTATATTAACTTTTTTTCAAATTTGATATACCGTGATCATAATCAATACCGCAATTGTAACCGATATACTATAAATCCAACTCATTATTTTGCAGTTTTGAAAAAGAAACTATTCAAAATAGTGGATTCTATGTTTTAATTATTGGTGAGATGAGACTATGAGATGTGTGTGTTAGTTGTCTACAGTTGTCGAAAGAAGAAAAAAAAAAAAAAAAAAAAAAAAAAAAAAAAAAAAAAAAAAATTTAAAGCATAGAATGGCAATACTGAAATAACAACCAAAAACAATGTCATTTACACTTGCTCAATTACATATAACGCGCAACTAGCCCTTGCCACCACTGTTGTCTTCAACCCCAGAGACAGAGAGTATCACAATACAGCAGACGGTATATATATAATACAATACAGAGAGATATATAGAGATAGAGTGAAGGGCCAAAACGCAAAGAAGAACTAGAGAGAGAAAGTGTGAACAATCTTCTACATGCAGTTCTTCTCAAGCTTCGCACAAGCCAAAATGTCCAAGATCTTCATTGCTCTCTGCTTCATAACCACTCTGATCATCTCTTCATCTCCATCATCACACACCGTCGATGCGAGTAGCGGGGGCCACCAAACCCATCTGGGCTGGCTACCCACTACTAGATCCGGCTGCCGTGGGTCCCTCGCTGAGTGCCTCGCCGCCGGAGAAGACGACGAGTTCGAGCTCGACTCCGAGATCAACCGGCGCATCCTAGCCACCACCAGATACATCAGCTACGGTGCGCTGCAGAGGAACAGTGTCCCCTGCTCCAGACGTGGCGCCTCCTACTACAATTGCCGGCCGGGTGCACAGGCCAATCCGTACACCCGCGGATGCAGTGCTATTACCCACTGCAGGCGTTAGTTTCTTCGTCTTCCATTCATTTTTAGTTTTTTTTTTTTTTTTTAAAAAAAAAAATTTCATATGGGATTGTTTGTCATACAATGAATTGGTGATGGGTCTCTGTTGTCTACGATTGAAGATATTGTTTTTATAAATTTATATTTATATTTGTGTTGTCTGTAAGATCATACTTTTATATTATTTTCTCATAATTTGTCTCTGATTCACATAACTCACTGTTTTTCATTGTTGGGCAGTTCTTTTTTTGGTCAAATGTGTGTATTTATGTATTGTTTTGGTCCATCTGGATTGAAATTTGAAAACTGTGGGTGTGTTTTTAATTGTATGTCAAAAAAAAAAAAAAAAAAAAACTTTTGCTTTGTGGGTTTGTGATTCAGAGACTGTGTTTATGTTTAATAATTATACCACATCAATAAACATTCACCTTATGGCTTTGTGATCTTCTAAAATCATCTATGTTGTGTTTGGGAGAACCAAACAGGGCTTTGAAATTGGAACTGTAAAAAAATTAATATAATTTTATAATTTTTGTTTCTGTGTTAATTTCGTCAGAGCTCTATGGGATTGTGTATTAATCTTAATTAATCGTTATTAATTTGGCTGGGTTTATTTGGTTTCAGTGCATATAATCTAAATTTATCTCTCTATTATTCTGCTTTCATATATGTGAAAGCATTTGGGTGGTTGGAACATTATTTTATTTTGAATTGGTTGAATTTATTTGAGATGCTTATCCAAAAAAAGCGAAAGAGAGTTTTTTGGGTGGCAGTCTTCTTCCTGATCTTTCAATTCCAGCCTTAGGTATCCTTTTATTTCAATTCCAGCCTTAGGCTCTGTTTGGTTAGAAGGAAAAAAATAGTGGAAAGTGATGTGAAAGGGGCAAGAAGGAAGAAGAAGATAGGGCTGTGTTTGGTTAGAAGGAAAAAAAATAGTGGAAAGTAGTGTGAAAGGAGGAGAAGAAGAAGAACGGGGTTGAGAAGGATCAGAAGAAAAAGTGGCATGAAAATCAAAGCGAATAAAGTAAAATTATCAGAGTCTTGATGAACAAGGTAGGCTCTGTTTGGTAGGAGGGATAACCAAAAAAAAAAATGGAATAGTGGAACAGTGAAGAGATGGATGAGGCACCATAAGAAAAGGAAAGGTGACTTCCTCTTTCTTTTTTTTTTCTTTTTCTTTTTTTTCCTTTTTTAATGGAAATGATAATAGAAATAATGGATGAGGTGATTTTTTTTTTTTGGTTGGAGTTACTTGGAGGAAGGATAAATTTTATATATATTTTTACCATCATACCCTCATTATGTAAATTACTAAAAAGTAAAGTTTCACTTCAAATTAGTAGGGTTTTAACAAAGTAATTTGGTAAATAATTGAGGGGGTAAAATGGGATTGTATATTTATGGAGCAATTTTTCTCTCTTGCCCTAATCTCAAATTGGAGGGATGAAAAAAAGGTGAGTCGGGATGGATGCTTCGTTGGTCTTACTTTCTCCTTTTCCATTCCTTCCAAGCAAACAATAAATATATATATATATATATATATATATAGTCCTTCCAAACAGACAAAGCATAAAGGATAGAGTAAAATGAATAGCCAAACAAAGACAATTCAAAATTTGAAATTATTGAAGGGAAGAATAACATCTCATAGAGCAAAGTGATAGAGAATACTCCCTCTTTTTGGAAGGGAAATTGGAGGGGATTCTTTTTATTAGCTACTACACTTTTACTGTAGAAGAAGGCTTTGTGTCTTTAGTGTCTGATATTTGAAATGAAGAAATATAAAGCAATATGGAGAAAGAAAATGTTGAGAGGAATATCAGAAGGTATTCCAGAGGAAGAGAGAGAATTTTCTCTCTTTTTGTTTGGTCAAGGATGAAAGAAATAAGAGTTTTGTGATATTATCAAAATGGGAAGAAAATATTTTGTTTGGAGGGAAAATGTAAAAGAGCTACAACATAATATATTGTTCTATGCTTACATATCAAAAGAAGGATTTTGTTCGTAGAAAAAAAAAGTAAAAGAGGAAACAAAGTCCTTTTTACTTGTCATTTCCTTTCCTCACAAAGTGAATTGCAAGAATATGGCGGATGGAAAGAAAAGACTTCTCCTTCCTTCCTACTAAATCATAAATACACATTTCATCACTCTCTTTTCCCTCCTCCTCCCACTATTTCCTCTCACCAAATGGACAACAAGATGGAATTTGCGAAATTGTTTCCATTTCAGTAGGTGAGTTAAGAACATAGAGTTGGTAGAAATAGTAGTCATAAGAGTTCGAAAATGTTCAAGTCGAGTAAGCATTGGGTCTGCTTGGTTCAGCTTTACGAGAGTTGTGGGGTCTACTTGATTTGTAACACAACAATTCTCATGTACTCAAAAAATATAAAATTGTTTTCAGATAATTATAAAATACAGTTATATGAAAACATGCATTTTAATAACCGAGTTTTTAAAAACAGAACCAAGCAGAGTTTTTGAATAGTTTTCTGATTTTTAGTTCTCTGAAAACAAAAAACTGTTTCCAGAGTTACAAACCAAACATACCTTTATGTTTTTTGAAAACTGAAAAACTTTACAAAAATTTGTTTAGTTGACAGTTTCTGAAAACTATTTTATGAAGAAAACTCAATTAAAAAAACACTTGTTTTTAGAGTTCTTGACAACTGTTTTCGGAGTGACAAACCAAACATTATGTTTTGGAGTTCAACCGAAAAGAGTTGTGTGTTTTACCTAATTGAAAACAGTTTTGTGTTTTTGTTTATCTCCTAGCTTTCCATCCAAGAAAGGAAGAGAAAAACTTTGAAACATTTATACATTGGATAGTAGGATGACAACCCTAAACCTAAAGTGAGCGAATCTGATGCCCTCAGAATAACAATAACAACACTAGAGTTATAAAATCTAAAGTTCTCAACCAAGACAGAGATATAAAGAAACAGGTTGGTTGGACCTTTGTTTGATTTCATTTGAATAGACAAAGTGGGGGTGATTAAAGATCTTCACATGCACTGAATGATTGAATGATTTAAAGAGCAATGCCCCAATATGATGAATCTCAAAAGATGTTCTTCATGTTTTGCATTGTCATGGTGATTCTTTTCATATACCATATCATGTGTTGTTAATGATGGGTCCATGACTCCATTTTTTTTTTTTTTTTTTTTTTTTTCGATAAATCCAACCGAGAACAAGAAGACCGAGGCATCCAAAATTTTTTTTTTTTTTTTTTTCTTTCCCATATACCCGAGAAAGAACATGAAGACCGAGGCAACCAACAAAAAATAATTTTTTTTTTTTCTTTCCCGGAATTTTTTTTTTTTTTCGAAATAGCCGAGAAAAAATATGAAGACCGAGGCATCCAACAAATTTTTTTTTTTTTTTTTTTTTCCTAATCTACCCAAGCAAAACAAATAGAAGACCGAGGCATCCAAAAAAATTTTTTTTCCCATGTACATTCAAACCCATGCACATATCATTTTCAAAGCAAAACGTGGGCCCCTTTTTTGCCAAACAGAAATTTATGGCAAGAGGGCCCTTGTATAGTTTGCTTTTCAACTGTGCAGAATATTTCCTCTGCTCTCGTGAAAGGTTTGCAACTATTTGCAGTGTTTGGATGTACTATTCAACATGTCAAAGGCATTTGCGTATCAGAATCAAAAGTACTGTTTGTCAGAATTAATTTTGTGAAATGGTATAATATTCCTGAATTTTCTTTGCAAGTAAATCCTAAATGCTGTTAGGGGCTTACTGTCATTTTGTCGTGATTACGTATAAATATTGAGTTACAAATATAAAAAGATAATTGTATCCCAATTATATAATTAAAATTTTGCACGATAGAATTTATGATTATTGTCATGAAGTTGAGTAGTAATATTGTTCTTTTGCACAATAGATTGAATAAAATGATTAGTGATGAGATATAAATTATCAAGTTTAACTGTTCGTGTGGATCATCTATCGTACTATTTTTCATCGTATTTAAACATTGTTTCAAAAGCATTTGTTATGTAGAAATATGATTTAGATATTGAAACTAAAAATAATTACATTGAAAAGAAATTTCAACATTGCTAAAACATATTTCAATACATTTGTAAATGTATTAAAACCAAAATTTAAATGCGTTAAAAATTCTTTAAACAACCTACAGTGAGAAAATATAATTTTTTTTTTCCTTGGTACTAAACCGAATTTAAGTAACATAGCATTTCATTCAAAATTTATGAAAAACACTAATTTATTGGACTATCAATGTAACTATACAGTAAGAATATGTTACATGTAAATATCATATATGATGTTCTGACTAAAATCAAAGAAACATTTCTAGCCATCCAAACAAGGTGGTACACTAAGACATTTGGTGCAAAAAAATGGTCCACTTTTCTACATTGATAAGGTGTTGTGTCCTTGTCACGACAGAGATCAACTTCTCATGTGTTGTGGAATTGATTGAAGCAATAGAATTGAGAAACCAGATGTCCAAAACTTAGCTTCACAGACACGTGTACGTTCAGATTTGAACCACTACCCAGTGGACCTCTGCTGCTAAATTAGAAATGTGATTGAATGGTGGTTGTGGTGTAAAATGTTGTGGAAGTGAAAAAAGACGCACCGACACAGATTGAAACTCCCCAAAGTCAACAACTCTCTTTTGTGAAACAAAAGTCTCTTCCGGATTTAACCCCACTTTGTTTGGGACCAAATTCGTTTGGAATTTGAAATTGAAGTAAGAAAAAATTTGGATTGAATTTGAATGAAATTCCATTTGTGTGTTTAGAACCATCTGAAATTCAATTATAAAAAAATACATATTTATTTTATCGTTTTGATCTTCTTAACCAGAATTGTAATATTATATTTTAGGTTCACTGGTGGTCGAAATTTAGGATGTGACTGGTTTAAACTATAGAGTCTGAATTTATTTTGGACATAATTTGGATAAAGATTTTAGTAATCTAAGAAACCGAATAATCAATTATGAATTTATCATATGAAATGATATTATTACGGGATTTGGGCTTGGCTGGGCTAACCCTTTAACCTGCCCAAGTCCCATTATGTTTTAATAAAAAGAAAGGCAAATTAGGTAACTTACAAATTTACAGCTAAACTAATTTACAAATCCCATTACTTAACCGTTATTATAAGCCCAAAACTCTCTCCATTTCAATTCGACATGGGACCGGAATTTATAACATTCTCCTCACCAAAAAATACTACGCTCTGGTTATGGTTTGAACCACCCTATTTGGTCTGATATCGAATAAGGGACTTCACTTGCTTTGCTATTAATTATAACAAACCAAACCGTTCATTTGACTCAAAAATTTAAGTTGATAGATATTGTTATTCATGTTTATAAGCTCAAGATCCCTTTCAAAACATCGGACACCCACCTCGTAGAAAACATAAAGAAAACTATTTTTGTAACCCAACAGCAATCCAATCTTAAAAAGGAGGACTCAAGCCCAACACAAACAATACCAACCAAGTATTGGCCCATCAGCATCTCCTCTAACCCAACCCACCCAAACATTCACCATCATCATCCCTTGTCCCCTCTCTCGAAGCTTGCACAGAGACCAAACAATCAAAATTTTCTGAAATTCTCCAAATGGTATTCTGTTTGCAAGCACCAATGGCTTCTTCAGTCCCTTGTTCATCATCTTCATCAGCTTCTCTTAGGAGTCGAACCTTTAAGACCCTTTGTACAATCAACAGTAGAAACAGTGCTAAAATTCCGATGCCTCCAGTGAGCCCTAACGACCCTTTTCTGTCGAACCTCGCTTCGGCCGCTGCAAATGCCCCGGAAGCATTTCTTAATCGGCCTACCAATTCCGACACGCCTCCGTATCTTGACCTTATGGGCTCTCCCAAGCTCATGGCTACACCTGCCCAGGTACAGTATTCTTCATCTCTCTCTGTCTCTCTCTCTCTATATATATCATTATATGTGTAGGCATAGGTATATGTGTGTGTCTGTGTATCTAGCTGTAATTGTATGTATGCATAGTTATGTGCATATATATAGTTCTGGCTATTATGTACGGTTAAACAACATTCTACTGATTTATATTTTACATGATAAGTGATTATGTGATTTTTATTACTTTGACTCTTGAATTACAGGATAGTTTGATAGAGTAATTAAATGCTTTTTTATTCCCTTCTTTTAATCATGTTTACTCAATAGTTGGAAATGGTGGGGATGAAATTTATGAAATCTGTGTATTTTTGGTCGGTTTTGGGCCTCGTAGAGCACCCAATAATCCACCGCCAGACATATAGTCCCCATTCCACATGCACCGGGCAATTACTGAAAAAAGTTTTTGGGTGGCCCCAAGGAGATTTGAACTCCTGACCTCTAGGATGTGAAGTGGGAGTCTTTTGAGTAGGCTATCCCTTTGGGATTATTTGATGAAATTTGTTTGCTTGATGAGTAATTCTTGTTTTTCTTTTGTTTAAAATTTATATCTTATTTTATTTTTGTGTTGCTTAAAATGTAGTTTCGTTTACGATTTTCTTCATTTTGTATCGTTTTCCCTTAATTTAATGTTCTTATTTTGTTTTCATATAATTTGTGTCTACTAATAATTTGTTGCATAATGTTTTTGTTGATATGTAAGTTGTTTAATTGGTGATGTTTTTGCTCTTATCAGGTGGAAAGATCCGTTTCGTACAATGAGCACAGACCAAGGAGGCCTCCTCCAGACTTACCTTCATTGCTTCTGCATGGTAGAATAGTTTATATTGGCATGCCGGTACGTATTGATCTATTCAATGCCATCTTCTTGGAATATTAGTACCATTTAGGGGGAAGTTAGTAGAAGGGAGGAAGAAACAAAGATTACATATTGTTGACTGTAGTGCAGTTTTATCATCTGAGGAATGAGAAATTATAGTTTCCCTATTTACGTGGCGAGCCAAGTTTTGATTGACATTGTAGAATACATAAGTGCGAAGATGATCAAATCTTTGACTATGAATATTTCCATGAGCTACCACTGGTGAGTACTTCACTTAATTAGAGAAAATAACTGTTAGATCCCATCAGGTGCTTTACTTAATTAGAGAAATGGGATTTTGGACTTCCATTCCTACATCTGTCATGTAATTATGTTTGCAATACATTATAAACATGTGCTAACTATATCAAAGGAAGTGATAAGAAAAATGCTAGATTTTCGTTTTAAGGCCTTACAGCTAACTCCTTAGGGCAGACCCAAACAGTGATCAAAATAATAGATTGAGTAGACTAATCAAGTGCTCACATATGTTAATAATTTCTGTATGTGGTTTATAATACACGAGCCTTGATTGATGTTGGGAAATTTCAGATGGCTCTGCTACCAATATTTTGTTCCTGACTATAGTATTGGCATACGTGTGATCAAAATGGAAGAGTTGGGGTTGTTAACTATAGCTGCAGAGGGAACAATTGCAGTTTTTTGGACCATTAACCAATTGCAGTTTTTTGGACCATTAACCAATTGCATAATGCATGAGATTTTGGTACCCTGGATAATGTAAGGTCTGTAATAAATGATAAATGTTTAAATTGAAAATCATGACATTATTTATGATTAAAAGATAAAACTCAGGGTAAACATATGAGATTGCCCTTTCTGTGACCTACTTTTGCGTGAATAGTGAATGAGGTCAATATAGTAGGTGTCACAGGGGTAAATTCTGAACACGAATCTAGTGCCCTGTGATGGCACTAAGCCAGAAATATGAACAACTTTTTCTGAATTTCTAACTTAGCTCAGCCAACTCACACTTACTACCTAGAACACACAGCAAGTAAAACACTCTCACACACAAGTATAGTTGTAAGAATGTAAAGACAATAACACCCACAAATTTACAGAAGCACAAGGCTTCCAACCTTTTACTATTATTCACAAAACAGTACAATGAAAGGCCTCAACTTGCAGAAGCATACAAGAGTCTCTCATAACACAACTCTGTGTCTCACTCTCAATCTGCTCTCACAACAGAACCCACATTAGCAATATATAGGCAAACTCTCAAAACCGCCCACAACTGCCCACTAAAGTGGTGGATGACACCCCCATCCACCCACAACTACCCACTAAAGTGGTGGATGACACCCCCATCCACCTAGGGTGATGTTGGCACCCACTAAGTGTGCCAACACTACATATGTAGTTGACAAGCCCAACTACTAGCTTGTTGGCATGTTCTGCTCATGCCACGTGTCCACAGGAAGTTGCACTCAGCATAGTGGAAGAAACCACCTCCAACCGCCTGTGTGTTGTCCTCTCAAATCTGTGCCACATGGATGGGAAGTTATTCAGCACACCCCCACTCCCCACATGAGTGGGAAGTGCTAGTAACTTCCCCCAACCAATTGAGCCCACTTAGTGGGAAGTGTAATTTCCCCCAACCAACTAAGCCCACTTAGTGGGAAGTGTAACTTCCCCCAACCACCTGAGCCCACTTGGCCATCTTCTGTAACCATAAGCATGTCTGAGTCCCCTGAGCCAACCTTGCACGCTGAGCCTTGCCTACGCCCACTGCCTTGTGCCCATGTCCCTGACTTGACTATGCCACACGTCCATGACTTGTGTGGTCCATGCTTTAAGCAACATCTGAGCCAACCTTGTGAACTTGGCCGTGCCAAGCCCACTAATCTACACCTACATATAAATGTTTCAAAGTGCACGGCATCCAAATCGAGTGTCGTCTGCGCCAACCATCTTCTATGGACTCAAGGTACCTCCCATAAAGATCCTGAGCCAAAACTCCAAGCTTCACTTTATCGCCATATTTACGAAAATGCCACTGGGCACCCCTAGTGCACGCTGATAGCATCCCATGGCTGTCAGGGGGCTTGTCAAGGTCCAAATCCCGTAACAGTAGGGTACTAGGGGCTATTAATATCGTGCAGACATAAAGTTATCTTGAACTTTCCATTTTAATTCATCCATCTTTTGTGTGGTTTCAAACACAAAAGTTTGATTTATTATGGGGGATCAGAAGTGAGCTATATTACTTGTAGTTTGTCCCCAAACAATGTCAATGGAAAAAATTATCAAAGTTGAAGAGTTGGTATTGGCTAAGTACATCAAAGTGGGGAAAATATTTAAATTTTTTAGTGCACCCTGCAGCCAATATTTGATAGAAAATTTGGTGCCAATCTGCACTGTGAAGACATGGACACCTCAATGAATGATAGAAGATTATATTGAGAATATTACCATTTTTATATGGATTACAAAGAAATTCCATGATAAGCATATTGTGCACTCCTTGTAACACCTCCTTGGCTGTGAATACTGAATGTGATTAGTTCCTTTGCAGTAAGAACTAAGTAAGTATTCTGTAGCTACCAGTGAACTTGTATCTCATTTTGTCAACATTCTAAGATAGGGTGTGAGGTTCGGCTTCCTTCTCCCCCGCCTTTTTGCTTTCTGGGCTCCTAAAAAAATAAAGAAACCCAAAATCAAAAAGAAAGAAAAGAAATTGGGTCATGTTTCCAGAGAGAATCATATGCGTTGTCATAGCTTTTTGGGTAATTTTGAAGCTGATTTTGATCATATCATATGCATTGTCAAAAAGACTTTGATCATATGCTTAAATACTGGAGAATCATGTGGTGTTGTTTTTCTTTTCTTCCCTCTCTCTATGTCTCTTCTTTTTAACATCTCATTTATTTAAAGGTTTTATGTCTTTTTTGCCGGATGCAATAAATTTAAGTTGTCAAAGGGAATTACTGGCCCTATATTTGTAGGGAGCCACACCTGATAGAACCATTTGGCTGCCATCAAAAAGAAGCATATGGTATAAACATCATGCGTTTAGGAGGCGAACCAATAAAGGGTGAAAAATAAAAAATGATGAACAATAATAATGAATGTTGTGACTATATTAATCTACGAGTGACTAAAAGATTAACTTCATATGTAAATAAGGAAATGATAACTTGTTGGTACAACTTGACAAGACACTGGGCCTAATTGGTGGTGAAATGCTGAAGCAGGTTGGTGAGGAGATAAAAGTATACTAGATACAGGACCTGTAAATTGCAGAAGTATTTGCAAAACCTTTTTTACATGAAAGAGGCATTTTTTCTGTCCTGGCAAATATAGCTCACACACCCAGTGTCCCTTTTGGGGACTTGAATCCTCAACCTTCCACTTTAGAAGGTGAGGAGATACCACTAGGGTATGCACCCTTGGTGGTATGTGAATTAATCATTTAAAAGCACCATTTTATTTAATTATTTAAATGTACAACAATTAGATTCTATGTTTTATTAGGTTGAAACATGTTATTTTTCATATTGCCTTCTTAGAGGAAATAGGGGAGAAATAAGAAAGTACATCCAAGACTGCCTAAAAAAAGGCTTTTGCTTTCCATTTTTTAAAAAAATTTATCTAGTTTTTAGCTTTACCACACAATTTGTATGAATTAAACGTTTTTTATTTATTTATATATATATATATCAGTTGGTGCCAGCGGTCACAGAGCTCGTGATTGCAGAATTGATGTACCTGCAATGGATGGATCCCAAAGAGCCTATATATCTTTACATAAATTCTACAGGAACAACTCGTGATGATGGTGAAACAGTGAGCCTTCTATTAGCTATATGAATTGTGCCTACTTCTTGGGTTCTCTGCTTAACATTTTCATATTTCATATTCAAATGCTGTTCATATGTAGTTTAAAAGATGGTTTTAGATAAAGCGTTGCATCCTTCTCTAATCCAATGCCATATTGTAATTGTTTATTTATTTGTAATCAATTTATATAATCATTGAAATGCATATATTTTCTAGCTACATTGCATGAAATAAGTAGCAATCTGTCTATGGATGTAATTTCTTACTGTACACTAAATATAATGAGTCTATATATCACTTATAAATAATAATAATAATTATAATGAGTCTATATATCATTTGGTCATTTTTCTATTTCCATCATAATTTAGTTGAATAGCTTCCTATAATGGCATATTCATTTGAATGTTGTCCTTGTCTAAATGCAGAATGATGATTTTTTGTTATCATTGCGTTATGTTTTTAATTAGTGTTCTTCAAGGGACTGATGTCCTTTTTCTTTTCTTGTATCATTACCCTAATTACGCTTATTCGAGCAGCTATTATAATGTTTGAGAAGTTGCAGAGGAAGAGAAGGAAACTCAGATTACGTTATTCAACTTTTATAAAACTTGCCCATAATTGCTGCTTTTTTTTCCCCCCACCTACAAATGCTGGATACTTCTCCTTGTAGACAATTTGTGATATTCTTTACTGTAGAAATTGACATCTATATTCTCCATGATTTTTTCGACGCAAAACAAGCTCAAACATGTACTAGGTGCTTGTCATCACATGCCATTGCATTCTTTCAGCTGGATTTTGGTCCTTTACCTGCCTAAAAGGATGAAACTGCTTCATGGGCACTAGATTTGCTTTTGAAATGGTTGGGTACTTCATAAATTCAACTTACAATAAAGTTTCCCCACTTTTTGTTAATCACTGCATTCAAACTTATTTAGCCCCAATTAGATTTATTTCTATGTCTTTGAGTTATTCGATGATATTCTCAGATTCTAATATATTTAGTCATGGCACTTTTGAGTGTTCACTTTCATGGCTTTAAAGGGTTCTCATCTTTCAGGTTGGGATGGAGACTGAGGGTTTTGCGATTTATGATGCTATGATGCAATTGAAGAATGAGGTAAACTTATATATAAATGCTGCCATCTCGAAATCTTTTGTATGAAGCATATACATGTACGGACCTTAATTTCATACAATTTAATCAATACAGTTTGTTAGTCTCTCAAAAACCCGACAATAATAAACAAAAACATAAGAGTTATTGGCACTTTGGGAAGTGACAACTATCTACAGATGTCTACTGGAAAATACACAGATGTGATAAAGGGTCATTCCTTACCCAGTGTCAGTTTTTTAATTAATGAAATTTTAAAAAATGAGTAAACAAATTTATGTTTTTGTAAGCTACACCAATAACATTTGACATGGGGAACCGATATGTTTGTTCTGGTCTCATGTTTCTAATTTTGGAATCCAGATAGTTTAGGCAAGTATGGTTGACCATATGCTCGAATTAACTCACGCACAAAATTGCATAAAAGCTAAATAGATGCAGACAGTACTTGCCATGAGGCATGGCCTGTATAATTATGGGCTTTACTTGCAGAACAACCACATTTTATGTTGTGGTATTGCATGCTATAAGAGAATCAATTGTTGATTTAGATTAGGCAAGTGAAACATGTTAGAACCTTTTATGTCATGAAGCTTTTTCTATGACACATGGTATGCATACCTTAAGATTTGACAAAAGGAAAAATGAACACTTTGGTTACATATCATGCATGTTAGGCAGATAGGAGTTTTTTAATTTATTCATACGTGCATGTATTTTACATATATATTGTTTACTATCAACTAGAGCTCATTTTCAGAGGACTACTTGACCTGAACGTAACCTATTTATAAGTAGTTTGTTCATGGATGACTCCTCTGCTGGCCAATTCAATTAGTTTTTATGTTTTTATAAAAATATAATTTTTATTATTATTATTTTTTTTTTTTTTTTAATATTATATAGATTTTAAGAAATAATGACAAGAGTTAGATCTATTCACAATTCATCCCTCCCAACACTTTTGATCAAGATAGATGTAATGGTCTTCCTTATTAATGATATATATGTATACAACAAAAGCAAAGTAAATGAGCTTTAGGGTCCTAAAATAAATTTGTCTATGGAAAATAAATTTGCATGCTTCATATTATGCCCCAAACAACCACAAGCAAGTTGGATTATTAACTCAAAAAGAATCAGCTACCAGCTCTAGTTATACACTAGTGACTGGATGAGTCACAAATGTATGATAAGTTGTTATTAGATATCTAAAGAGTTTCATGATCTTGATAGTTTAGTTCCATTTAATAAATAGTCACGTTGTGGTTAGATTATGAGACTGATTGAAATATTTGCTCTTTTTCTTCCCTTCCCTCCTCCCTTCCATATTCAGATCCATACAGTTGCAGTTGGGGCTGCTATAGGTCAGGCATGCCTCTTGCTTGCTGCAGGAAGTAAGGGAAAACGATTTATGATGCCACATGCCAAAGGTATTGTACAATTATTAGTTTAATTTGTGATTGTGAATTTCAGTTGTTCTACATCATCTTATATCCCATGTCACTTGGTTTCACTTGGATTTCGGTTCCAGCTATGATCCAACAGCCCCGTGTCCCTTCATCTGGGTTAATGCCTGCGAGTGATGTCCTTATTCGTGCGAAAGAGGTTAGTTAAAACTTTTTGTACCTTCCTAGCTTTCAAATGTAAGGTATTGTGACACTTTTCTAGTAAGTTAAGTGGTACTATCAACTATCTTTATAGCTTCTTAGCATTTGAATTTAAATATCAGTGACAGTTATGGTAATTTAATGACATAATCTGTGGAAAAAGTTAACTTGTATGGATATTCAGTGGTGACTGAATTGTACCCTTTGGTTGATAGTTATAGAGAGCAAGTCTGTATTAGCATTGTTCCTTCTTTTTCTTTGTCAAATTACAAAATTGCTATATTGTGCATGCATAAGTTAATAAGTTTTTCTTAACTTTCCAACTGCTAAAGTGTTGTTCCCGAATAGCATATATGAGCGAGGGATACAATCGAGCTCTTGCTCTGCTTCTTTCCTACCCATTGGTCAATATAATGTGTCTACCACCAAACCCCTTCTCTAACAATCCATGCTTACCTGGGGATTCAGAGTGTGATCTTCCAAGAAATGTGTAACATGTTACAACTATTTAATTCCAATTTCATCAAAGTGCATAAGTAAAATATCCAATATAGGTTCGGCATGAAATCCCCAAAAAATATACCTCAATAGCTTAGGCATGAAATCACCAAAAATAAATTATATAATACATCAGCTTTTCACTTGCAAATAACGCTGATACATTCTTCTAGGAATGGGGTAAAAAACTAATCCTAGACCGAGAGAAATGAAATGCCTTTGCTAGCCTGATCCGTTTCATTTCCATTACCTGAAAAAATACATAGGAGTGAGCTCGACGAATCAGTATGAAAATTGATTAAGGTCAACCTCGTTTGGTCATCGACTCATCAATGGAAGTGATCTTTTGTTTTTTGTTTTTTTTTTTTTTGTTTTTTTTTTCTGTCAATATATTTTGTTAGTTCATACTCAGTGCAAAAAGATAAAGGCCAACAGCTCACTCTGTCATTAAATTGTGTTTGGTAAATTATTCGGCTCCTTCATTAGCCTTTTTTTTTTTTTTTTTTATATAGGTAGCTCCTTCGTTAGCTCTTGCTTTAGTTATAGCTCCATTGTACTGTTGTAAGCCCTTGATAGCATGTTACTGATTAAGTTATGAATTATTATTGGTACTCCTATATAATCCCACTGTTTAGTTGTTTACTGGTCATAAAATATGCTTTTTAAAATGGGGCATAGACTATTTTTTCTCTTCTCTTGAAACATTTCCTTAGATCATAAAAGAGGCTTAGGTTTCCTCCCCCCCACCACTCTCTCACACATTTTTGATTATCTGGCATGAAGACTGTTATTACTCCAAATTTTCACACCTTTGTCCTCGTTTCCCTCTATTTTTATGAACTAATCTAACCTTGTCCAACCTTTCCTTCCCAACCCCTAGAAAAAATAATAAATAAAACATATATTTAAATGAATGAATAAAATAAATAGGAAAAAGCAAAAAAGGAAAATTTGCCCACTCCGACACCTGTTCCAGAAAACTTTGAAAAGCCACAACTGCAAGCAGCACTAATATATGCTTGATATAGTTTACCTTTTCAGGTGTTTTCAGACCAACCTAATTGCTTTTGCAGGTAATAATAAACAGGGACACTCTTGCCGGTCTCGTCGCAAAACACACTGGAAATGTGAGTATGATGCATCAATAGTGTTTCTTTTTTACTAATTACAAAAGGAGCATGAAATAGGTAGCACTCATTAAACAAATTGATACTTTACCAGTCTGTAGAGACTGTCGCTAAGGTGATGAGAAGACCATTTTATATGGATTCAACAAGAGCTAAAGAATTTGGTGTCATTGATAAGGTAAGTTGTCTATATATGCCACACATTTTCTTAGTACATAGTATTTTATGTTATGAATATGTTAAGACTTTGCTGAAATATTGTGGAATTCTTGGGATTCAGATTCTTTGGCGTGGTCAAGAAAAGATAATGGCAGATGCTGCTGCACCAGAGGACTGGGACAAAAATGCTGGCATCAAAGTTCTTGATGCAGTTTAAACTTTTTCAAGTAAAAAATCACACTGTATGTGAACTCACCATCTTTCTCACAATCTTTTTTAGCTCAACAGTGGATCTGTATATGGAAAATATGACCTGCACGTCATTTTTCACAACAAAGGCATCTTACTTGAAACTCTTGGAAAGATAATTCACTTTAAACAGATTAGCCCACGAATAGTTTAGAACTTTAGATATGGCTCTTTTGCGTTTAGTGTAATCACCAAAAGGCATGATGCAGTGAAGTGTGGCCCTTATGTGCTCTCCTACCATCCTGTTAAAGTCCTGCCATGTTACAAGAAGACAGAAATTTCAGTCAATAAGTGTTATCCTACTAAATAATTCGACCCTATTACCAACACGTACTTCACTCACTTGGTGCCTTGAAAAGCTTAAAGGTATATTTTGACGGTTGTGCGTCTTTTTCAGAATCCAGAACGACTTTAGTGAGATAAACCTCTAAACCCAAATCCCCGAGATTGATGATGAACTTTTTTTCAGGTGTAGTAGTACCCTTTCTCCAATTTCAGGTAGTAAATACCTGTTAGTGCAAGTTGAAACAGGGATTGCTAGAAAATGAGTCTAAGAACTGATTTAGTTGGACCATTTCTGGGCTACGAACGAGAATTTTATTCTATTTTTTGCCATTGTTATCTCTTATGTCTATACTGATGCACACTGTGTGGTTGAATCTGAATGTTTGTTTGCCATGTCAAGAGGAGATACGATTTGAAATATTAAGGAGGAAACTTCAGTGATGAAGCAGAACTCTTCTACCATGGTGTTTTGGTTGTTTTTATGACGTAACTTTTCTTTATTTATCTGGAATCATAGGATCACCACATTGTGTTTTGAATTTTTTATTATTATTATTATTATTATTTATTATGAACAGTTGATATCCACCATTCGATTTCACCTTCTTTCATTGGGTTATTTAAAATTTTTGGTTGAATTCTGTGAAATGTTGAATAAATCTGCAAATCTAATTAGACCATGCTAAATTCGAGTGTAGGATGTCAACTAGGGAAAGTCAAATGTGGTGGACTACTGTTCAGATTCTGTGGTTACAAGATGAAGTTCAATATTATTGAGGGCATATGGACTTGATGAAGAGCACTGAAAATGCAGGACCGAGATAGCTATCTGTTGTAACTTGTAAGCAAGAATTCATAATGCACTTTTTGGACCGACATTTGTTTATTTTCCGGTGTGGAAAAGGTTCTTTCTTTTTCTCCCTCCTTTATACTAAATAGCATGACAATGTTCTTATCGAACAAATAACGGTACATAAAGAGGGGTAATTGTACACAAGAAGTTCTAGGAAAAATGGGTTTTTAACCGCTAGCTATATCTCAAGTATGGCCATTAACATTATTGTTGGGTTGGACATATCCCTGACTCTGAGTTTCATTTATCATATACCCATTGAATTATTAGTTCAACCAAATTCTTCTTTCAACAAATTTTTTATTTTTATTTTTATTTTTATTTTTATTTTTATTATTATTATTATTTTTTTTTTGTAGTTTTGTGAATATGCCAATTGACAGTCCACTTCTACGTGGATCAAGTTTTGAGGGATTTGTTTAGAGGGGCTGTATTAAGGATGAAAAGAATTATGAACTAGATAGATGATGATAGGCCAAAGTAAGTCATCTTGGTGGTTGTTGAAAGTCATATTTCGTGAAGTTGCTTCCATGCACGTTAAGGCTCCGTTTGGTTACATGGAAATAGCAAGAAAAGAGAGAGAGAGAGGAGAATTTTTTGAACATTTGAAGTTTGGTTATGGGGATGGCAAATTCCCCATCCTAGTGGGTCCTGCCCCGTTGAGGGTGGGTTTGGAGATCTTTTTATGCAAACAAAGATGGGAATGGGGTAATTTTTGAATGCTGGGGCAGCGGGGGCGGGATAGGGTAAATTTGCCCTTTAGGGTCTACATTTATTAAAACATCCTTACATATTATGATATATTACTAAATTATAATAAGTATATATAAACATATTTCTGAAAATAAGAAAAATTATTTGTTAAAAAAATTATAGCTTATAGTAAATGGGGATGGGGATGGGAATTGAAGTGAAATTTCAAGCGGGGATGGAGATGAAAAAAATTATCGGAAATGGAGATGGGGAATGAGATTCCCGTCCTGCCCCATTGTCATCCTTATTTGGTTAGCAAAAGAATGGAAATTTTTGTGAGAAAATTACTTTCCATTACCACCTAATTACTTGTATAAAAATCGAAGAAATTTTTTGATTTCTTAAGAAAGTTTTATGAACTTACAATAATGTCACTTCTTTTATAGTAAGTTTCATGTCATTCAAACCATAAAATGGTAATTTTTCATAGTTTTTTTTTTATTTTTTATTTTTTAAAATATATAAATAAAAAATACATCGAAAATTTATCTTCCTTTCATTTACTTTCAATTTTTACTATTAATTTCTATTTAACCAAACAGAGCTTAAGGGCCTTTTGTGCAGCCAATACATTATGGAAAAGCAGCGAATTACTTTAATTTATGATGTTAACTATTAATACAATAAAGTTTTTTTTTTAAGTTTACTAATGCAATATTGATTAATACAGTTGTTTTCACCACTCTCACACACACACCCATCACCACTCCTAACAGTTCACTGATCACTTCCCTTGTATACACAATTAGTTCACCAAGAACAAACAAACCCTGTTTACAATATCTCTCACACCAGAACCCAAACTAGCAAGATAAAAGGTTTAAGAGGACAATTCAATTTAGCTTACATACACAGTAAATAGAGCTCCAAGTACTGCTGTACATGCTTTTGAAATCAAGTGGGTGATTCTTGTGAGGATACTCTGAATCAGGGGCGTGGCCGATGCCTGGCCCCGCCTAGCATTTTTTTTTTTTTTTTTTTCACAAGGCAAAAAGGGTTAGAAGTTAGATTAGTAGGTGCAAAGAGTCGAAGCCTGACACTTCCAAAATCCACTTAAGGCACTAAATATGGTTATTTTTTAATTTTTTTATATTTATAAGAAAATTTTTATATAATGTCCCCTAAAATTTTTAATTTCTAAAATTATATCCTAAATTTTTCTTTCTTTTCTTATGCTCTTCAAATTCCTTTCATTTCCTAAACAAAAAAAAAATTAAATTAAATTAAATTTTCCTTATTCAATCAAAATCTAATGGTTTCCTTTCACAGATCTCATCTTTTAAAAAAAAAAAAAAATTCTTTGTTTTGCACTTACGAATGATATATATAGCATGCAATTTTTTTTCTCTGTTTTTTTTTTTTTTTTTTTTTTTTTTTTTTTTTTTCTACTTAAAATTTTTTGTTTTGCACTTACGAATGATATATATAGTAAGCAATTTTTTTTCTCTTCTATTTATTTTAATTTAGTACTCTAATTTATGATGTTAATGTGTCTAATTTTCATGCATCACTTTCAAAATAAAAGATCTACAACTATATCCAATGAAACTATTAATTATTAAACAATATTTTAGTTCTTATATTGATCAAATACTTATATTTGTTATACTATTCATTAATTTAGTATATTTGCAATGATAACAATTTATATTTGTCATGTTCGTTAAATTATTATATTTTTTACACCGCGCTCCCCTTAATTGAAATCTTGGCTCCGCATAGAAGAATTTGAAGAATGTTGATATGAGATCCTGCTTCAGTGCTCAGAATGAGACAATTGCAGAAGACTTTTGACCTGAAAATTCTTCTTTTGATTATGTATGTTGTCCTTCTTTTTGATCTTTTGCTCAGATGCTACATAATTTCTCAAAGAATGTTCCAGCAACTAATGATATCATCTAGTTTCTCAATCATGATTTGTGTGTAAATCAATGTTGCCTTTGATCTTCACAAATGGAGCACCAACAACCTCTGTATTCAAGCATCAAGTTTATAAGAGTGGGTTTGACTTTCCAAGTCTTAAGAAATTCTTCAAGCAAAGACAACAATGTGGTCTCTTTATTTTCAAATTCTCTCTCTTTTTCTTCTACTGATTCTCTTTCAAGGATACTGATGGATGTATAATTTAAAAATCCATAATTAAGGGAAGATTACTAAATTAACACACTATTGAGATAGGCTTTGCAGATTACGATAAGGATTACAGATTGAGATAAACTTTACAGATTACGATAAGGATTAAAGATTGTGATAAGGATTAAAGATTACGATAAGGATTAAGTTTACAGATTACAATAAGGTAATTCTACGTGACATCTTAACCTAAGCCCTATAAAAAAGGCGGGGGAATCAACGTTTTGAGGTACGTAATAAACCCTAACTCAATTTCTCGATTTCTCCAGGGAGATTATCATTCACACTGACTTGTTCGTCGGAGCCTACTCCACCGGTAACACACCGGTGTTCGTAGGATCACTTTTTCTTCTCTTTATTCAGGAAGTCAGATCAGATCCAGGTTGCGGAACATCCATCATCAACAGTTGGCGCCGTCTGTGGGAACGATTTTAGTTCTCTAAATAAAGTATGGTTCGATTGCGATCTAGTCCGGTTGCTGGCGAATACGAAGCATTGCAAACTTCTGATCAAGGGGACTCGACGAGACAACCCCCCGCCCTCCCAAACGATCAGGAACGCGTCACAGCGTTGGAACAACAGGTTTAAACCCTAAATAAGGGAATGAACCAATTAGTCCAGAAAAATTCAATGATTCTACAACGCTTAACCGCCCTTAATGAGGTGGAGAATAATGAAGTACCCAAGAATGACTGCCGTAGGATTGACAACGACGCTGAGCTTAGTCAAATAGGGGGTCAACAGATAAGCCATCACCATCGGTCTCTTGAACGGAATAATACCAGGCTCCGTGCAGGTACCTCTGGTTGTGTTGGTGATAAGACTGAAGACGTCACTTATTTCAATCTGTAGATGCAAGATCTGAGAACTAGGGTCAAAGACATCATGCAAGCAATGAAAGGGAAGGGCCAGGCCACAGTGAACGATCTGGTACAGAAGACCAACCTAGCATTTAGCCTCGCTGTTATGTTATGAGTTGTCCTCTACCTAGCAAATTTAATATGCCAACTCTTGAGAGCTTCGATGGGACGCGGGACCCTCTCGATCATTTGGAGACCTACAGCCAACTCTTGAGAGCTTTGATGGGACGCGGGACCCTCTCGATCATTTGGAGGCCTACAAAGCTCTTATGTATTTGCAAGTCGTACCGGATGAGATTATGTGCAGGGCTTTCCCTACCACACTAAAGGGTTGGGCTTGTCCTTGGTTCAATAAATTAAAGCCAGACTCCATTGAAATCTTTAATGAGTTGAGCAAACAATTCATTGGACACTTCATCGCTGGGCAGAGGCATAGGAGACAGCAACACACTTATTGAATGTGAAACAGCAGAAGGGAAAGCCTCTCCGTGGTTACATAAGTCGTTTTAACGCTGATATGCTGCAGGTAGAAGAGGTGGACGACAAGGTTGCCCTCACAGCCTTTATGGGAGGACTACAGACTTCTAAGTTCCTATTTTCCTTATCAAAAGAAGCCCCTACAAGCATGACAGAGTTGATGGTTAGAGCATGGAAGCACATGAACGCTGAGGATGCTATGAATGCACAAAAAAACAAAGATGGTGAAGATAAGAGGTCGGAGAAGAAGAGGCCAGCACCTAACACTAGGGAGGAAAAGGAATCGAAGTACAAGAAATTCTCAAACAACCAGGCTGACAGATCGTTTCGCCGCCCAGTGAGCCCAGGCAGGTATAACAACTATACCCCCTAAATACATCTGTAGATCAAGTCTTTCTGCAGATTCAAGATGACGCATCATTGAAATGGCCCCCAAAGCTAAAAGCTGATCCAACAAAGAGGTCTCTAGGTAAATACTGTAGGTTTTACCGGGACCATGGACATAACACAGAAGATAGTTTCGACCTCAAAAACCAGATCGAGAACCTTGTTCGTAAAGGTCATTTATGCAAATTCACAACTGAAAATGGAAAAGGAGGCTCCAACCCAGCCTGGGAGGGCCGAGATGATCGCCCTCCTCAACACCAACCAATGGGTGAGATCAAAGTTATATCGGGTGGCTTCGCTGGTGGTGGTGAGACGAGTTCGGCTCAGAGGGCTCATGCTAGGAGTATTCGGAGTTTTTCAGAGGTGAATGAAGTTGGAATGACAAGTCCTCCAACAAAATTACCTCGAGTTGAGGAGCCGGTTATAACCTTTTCTGAAGAAGATGACAAGGGAATTCACCAGCCCCATGATGACTCCCTGGGCATACGAGAAATTGAAAATTGGCCGAGAGAAGCTCCGACCCATGAAATCACCACTGGTGGGATTTTCAGGCGATAAAGTACATCCACTGGGGACAGTTACCCTTCCAGTTACTGCATAAGCCAATCCAAAGCAGGTCACTGTAATGGTGGACTTTGTAGTGGTGGACTGCCTATCATCATACAATATT